GGATTGAACACATTAATCATTGTGCTAACCATATTTCCAAAGCATTCCTTACTGTTGTTTTTCTATGCAAAGTAGTGGTTTGTAGAAGATTAAAAATGAGTGGAAGTGACAGTACCCCGACAAAGGCTGTGCCTGCTCCTTAAAGGAGAAAGCTGAGAGAGCCAAGCACTTGAGATAATTTGTAGAATGTGCGGCCGTTGTTTAAAAACACAATTTGGCAATTTTAAGAGTGACAGGATGAGCTCTGAAAATATTTGTTTGTTGTCTCCACTACAAAAAGGTTAAACATTTTCAAAGTTGGTCAACCTTCTGAAAAACGAATTTTTCGTTGCCCTCGATGAACGACAATCTTTCTCCACAATAAAGAACAAAGGTTTGAAACTGTGCCACGATGCTTTTGCCAATTAGAGAGAAACTGAACACGCCAACGGAGTATGGATCATCATTACAATTGAAAATAGCCAAAGCCTGTTGGTAGGACACAAAAACATCCTTTTCCCTAAGAAGCGACTCCAAAGCTTCCCTCTGCTCAGATTTTAGAACAAATCCCAATTCTTGTGTAAACAAATTTAGGCAATCATCAGTCACTATCTACAGCAAAAGCTTTAGGAAATTGTCATGGTTGGGAACATCGTGAATGACTTGGTATAAACATAACTTCACAGCTTGTTAACAGCTGGCATCAAAATTTAGCCAATGGTTATTGCCCAAGGCTGAAAGAAGCAGGTAATTTGAAGGAATATAATGGACGCACAATAGGCAGTTTTTTTAAGCGTCTCTCCCAAGTGTCGGTCTCCGTTTCCAACCTCGCTCCAGACATTTTGTTTGACTGCTTGCTCGTACTTGAATACGCAAAAACAGGACTGTTTTGCAGTCTTAGCGAGTAGACATGTGTTTTGTCTGTGACAGTGAACAATATTTCCTCATCTCTGTGAATTTTGGCAATCCAGTGATCTTTTTGCTCTTGTTTCTTGGGAAAACAATGAAACCGCAAATCTTGTTTTTCTTTCACTTAGTATTCAGTATTGCAAGAGGAAACACAGTAGCCGTGTGGCATTTTCTGTTTTTCATGAATATTTCACATCAAATCTATCTGCATTCTCAGCTGTGATCAGCTGTGTAAACCTATACCCCCAGTTTTCGGGTCTTACTCGGCAGGCACTTACTAAGGAATCAAACTTGAATGTGGTGTAAGATTGCAATATGCATTGATGCAAAAAAAAGTTTCAGTAAAAACACTATCAGTTCTTAAATTATTATTCTCTCCACTGTTTCAGCGTAAAGACATGGAATCGTATCTTGAGTCAGCCACGTTAAAGCATCGTGAGTTTGCCTGTGCTAAACTTGATGGCACACAGGTTCACTTGGGTGAAACATGAATTCAATTATTTTAATTACACAATCAGGTAACAAAGGCGAATATAGATAGAGAAGAATGAACATACATTTTATTCGGAAGATTAAAGAGTTTAGTGAAATGTTGAGGCATGGACAGGCAGGGGCAGATCCATGATTTTTCTTACTGACTGGTGATGTAAACAAATTTAAATACAGAATACCAGTTGAGGTCATCTAAGGGGTGTGAAAACCTGATGACTGAAGTCACACATGTGATGTCAAAACTGAAGGATCTAGCTTACTACCCGTAATCAGGTGGTGTTGGAAACGGTCCACGTGACCAATTTTGTCCAATCACATCATTGCAGATGGCAGACTGATTCTTTCACCTTTGTGCGGGTAGTCTCTTCGATTTTCTTCGATTTTCGCCATTTATCAAGTGATTTACAATAATTTTTTTTGGAAAAGTTTCAGTAGACAGATGTAGCAAGCCGCAGTTCTTAAAACAATATGATGTATGTTTGTTTTCTATTGATATTGTTTCTTGTAATTCTTCATGCGCATAATCCCTTTGTTTAGTTAAGAGCTATTGTTTATGCTTTTCAGTCTATATCTTCTCTGTGTTCAACAACCCCTGACATCCATTTTTTAGCATAATCTATTAGTTTTGTTGTTCAAGAATCTGAAATGCTGGGGCCTGCCGTTTTATGGGTCAAAATGCCACTTGAAGTATGCCCACATGAGTGAACCGTGACTCCATTCCGCGGCATCTTTAGTATTACAAATATACTCGCGCGGTCACAATTGAACCAACTTAGAATACTTTCACTACACGATCAGGTCAGAATACTTTCTTTGATTTCCTTTTTATGCGTCTTTAAAAATATGATATTTTTTTGTAATATATATGTCACCGAAGCGGCCCTCCTTTCTGAATAGTTCCTTGGCCTCTTCCTTCTGCCCTTGTCTGCAAAGAGTTAAACCTTTTGTGCGAGATTCTTCATGATTCCTAATAAATCATACAAAAAATAACGAACAGATAAAACTGAATTCATACGGAAAAAATGACTAGAAAACCTCGCTAACTTGCTGTTGTCCTCAACAACAACAAGTTAGCGGAGGAGGATTCCACATTTGCCTTGCCCTCCAGTTTCTTCTGGAAAACCAGAATAGGTTGCACATTATTTTCGATGAGAAGATCAGTATCCTTCATGCACATGTCAATGTACCTGAAAAAAAAATCTGAGGTGAAAGGAGTGCTAAAGAGAAGCTTACGTTCAGAATCAAGCACTTTAGGCACATGTAAGAACGAAGTGTTGATACGTACCGCGTTGCTTCGATCCCAAAATTATCTCTTCGATGCAGAAAATAACAGTTTTGTGAAACCAGCCGTAAACGTCGATTGCGCCCACCTTTCTGGAGAAAGATCTCAAATGAACATTGCATGTTATGTCCTTTAAAAGCGGAGGAAAACCTGTAATGCCCATATCACACTATTTCTCCCGGTATTTTTATGGCGTAATGAGAGATGTGAACAAAGCAAAGGTCAGATGCAAATGAGCTGTTTTTGATTTTTTCCCCATGATGCCCTTCAGACCGTGTCCAACACCGCCTGACCTGTAATGGAGGCTACCGTTGTTTGTCACAAATCTTACGTGAAACCACTTTGTTTCTCAAAACGGTTAAAGGCATGTTCTCATTAGTACGGTGGTGGATTTGTTACTATACAAAACATGAATCCACATGTTATGCATCTTGATGTAATCTCCTGAATTTCTTTGTTGTCCATGTGAAGATGTGTCGTGAAAATGGATGTGTTTTTTACTTGCTTGAACTGTTGAGAAAAGTTCAAAGGAAACTTACCAATACTACGGATGTGGATGAGCAAAGACTATTGGTACTGTTGTGGAGTACAATTTCATCTGGGTTTTTCCGTAAATTAGTTCTAATGTGATCTCTCATGTCTCGTGTGGAACATTCTGGAAAAGAGGAAATCTTGACTTAAGCAGTACTTTACATTTTCCTCCCTTGTAAGTTCTTTAGGATGGAATCACTAAGCAAGAACACCTTTCTTTGCTTGCATTGAGTACTTCGGCCAGCACCTAAGTTTCCTTTTGTTCGCTCTGTATTTGTCTTCTTCTCTCCGCCCAAAACAAAACACATAAATGCTGCTCTTGCCTGAGCTCTGTTTACTGGGCAATAAAAATAAACACACTTAAGTTGGAGCAATATGGCTACAGACAATAGGTCCATAGCCGCTTTTATTGAAACAAACAGAACAAAAATGAATTCTGTTATAATATGATTGCCCAGTAAAGGTGCAGGCCAAGAAAAACGCACCAGCACTAAATATATTACAGAAAAAGTGGACAGATCAAGGGAAGGAGGTGGGAGTCAAAAGAAGCTTCTAACTCCGTGCAATAGAAACGAATGGCAAGCACATGGCTTGCGAGTTCATGTGACTTGTCAAAAACCTTAGAGGGGGTTGAACATAATGGCCATTGACACCTGACCCAAACTCAGCCCCCCTTGATTATCAAATAAACCCTGGTCAAAGAGAGAAGACATACAAATTCTATTTGGAAGCAAATATTTTGTTTATGTCTTCCTCTCTCTGCCCAAAACAAAACCCATAATTGCTGCTCTTGCCTGAGCTCTGTTTACAGGGCAATAAAAATAAACACACTTAAGTTGGAGCAATATGGCTATGGACAATAGGTCCATAGCAGCTTTTATTGAAACAAAGAGAACAAAAATGAATTCTGTTATAATATGTTTGCCCAGTAAAGGTGCCGGCCGAGAAAAACGCCAAAAGCAATGACACCTAAGGTGCATTGCTGCCCCACCCCAGGCAAGAGCAAAAGCAAGGAAGAAATGCATCCCCCACTATACAACAAGCTATTAACACTAGTCATTCCAGAAAAAGGAAACCTCTATTCTTAAGATGGTATACCAGCCACCCTTGCAAGCATGGTACAACAAAATTAAGTAATCAGGCCACTAAGACCCAAATCATTCAACTCGTAACACAAAATTGAAAGCTTATCATGAAAAAGCCGTCCATGCAAACTGAATCAGGAGTTAAACTGTTGATGACAAGAATGAAAACCACTCCTGAAAAAGCCGCCCATGCAAGCTGAGTCAGAAAACTAGTTATAAGGAATAAACGATTGTAAAATTTGTTTTTGGCTCAATGGATCATTGAAAAAAGAGAAACAAGATTATTAGAGTGGGACACAACAAGGTAGGACAGCAGCCCATGCAAACTGACCCACCCTACTGTAAATATAATGACCCCAATAATTTAAAAAATATAGAAATAAAGGATGGTATAAGTTGCTGTTTGCTAGATGAATCCTTGGAAACAAGAAAATTGAGAGTAACAACAAAGTGAGGCAGCCACCCATGCAAACTGACCCACCTTGTCAGTAATTACGATGAGCCCAATTATTGGTTCAGGAACTTTTAGATTGGGAACCCTGAGATAGCGCAGAAAGGCATTGGACTTCCAGCGCCCTAACATTCTAATCTGAGCATCAGAAAACCCCCGATCTGCTGCATAGGAAGCCGCACCAATTCGGAAACTATGACCCTTATAACGGGAAGGATCTAAGTCACACAAGTGACAAGCCCNGCCCTAACATTCTAATCTGAGCATCAGAAAACCCCCGATCTGCTGCATAGGAAGCCGCACCAATTCGGAAACTATGACCCTTATAACGGGAAGGATCTAAGTCACACAAGTGACAAGCCCTAAAGAAGAAGTAGGCTGGAGAAGACTGATCTTCAAACAGGCAACCCACCCTCTGAAACAAAAATGACCCCTGGTCTTAGCCCTGTAAAGTTAAATACTTGGACAGCAATACGACTGGACAGGTGGAATTGGGCTGCCGAGAAAGAACCACAGAAAAGGGGCGTGAATTGTAGCTATGCTTAAAATCCCCAAAGGTGTGTTTAAAAGCCTGCAATTCCCCAGATGGGGAAATCAGTTTTGTGATCTGATATAACTGAAGGGGAGGGTTAGCATTACTATTAAAATGGGTGGTCATTTCTCCTATGCGCAAAAGGCATAGAAGGCCAATGAGCACATAGCCTGAAACTGACTGATTTGGTAGGTTGACCCTTGTAAAAATGGAGCTATCGATACTAACCGGTCCAAAATATGAAGTGTAATAGGGAGGCGGCTATCCAAACAGAAACCCACTTTTTTATAGCCCTTGAGGATTTGGGAAACATAAAAAACTTTGGAAGGATCAGGGAAACCTAAGAGCTTATGAGAATAACCCAAGGCAGAAATATATGTTGCCACAGTAGATGGGGCATAGTGAAAATTAAACATATACCCTATAAACAGAGCCATTAGTGAGGGGGAAATGGGAAGAAAAGTAAAAGGTAAGTGAAAAACTGAATTGTAAAATTTATAGAAAAGCGCCCACGCACGCCGATAAGTGGGAATGGAAGATGGTTGCAGGCTAGAATGCAGCAGATAGGAGGTCACTGCTGCCAACTGATAGGCTGGAGATGATGAGGAATCTCTGTGGGATGAGGATTCATCCAGGCTGGTGCTAGTTGTTTGAAGGTCTGCAATTTCAACCGAGAAAGAGCATCAGCAAGAACATTGTGCACACCTGGGATATGCTTTGCTTTAAAAATATTCCTTTCCAAACACACAAGCACCAACCTATGTACTAAGAACATCAAGTTCTTATTCCGGCATGACTGCTTATTGATAACATGAACCAAGGCCTCATTACCAGTAAAGAAAAAGATCCTTTGATTCTGCATGTCATGGCCCCATAAATGCAGACTTAAAACAATTGGGTAAAGCTCTAAAAAGGCAATGTTTAAATGACACCAGCTATGTGGCCATTGGCTATAACACCAATGTCTACCAAAGACAGCACCGTAACCCAAGGCACCAGAGGCGTCGGTATACAGTAATAGCTGATTAGAATTTTTCCACTGATCAGCCAGAAAAAATGAGCGCCCATTAAAACCTGAGAGAAACGATTGCCAAACCAAGAGATCTTCTTTAACATCTTTAGAAAGCCAAATCAAAAAGTGAGGTTTCCGTACTCAAATCAATTAACCTGCGCAAGAATGCCCGACCTGGGACAACAACCGTATAGGCAAAATTGAGCAAACCCGTCAACGACTGAATCTCCTGAAGAGTTACCTTACGTCTACGAAGAAAAATTGAGAGAAGATCTTGACATTTATCCAGCTTTTCTTGCAGTAAACAGGCCTCCATGAGAGCTGTATCCAGCTGAATGCCTGTTTGCCAGGATAATTGGTCGGTCGAAAGTCCATAAAAACCACGAGAAAATAAACAAAACATCAACAATTTAATTTCATCTTGCTTGCTCCAAAAATGTGATGAGCTGGCGGAAAAGCAAAAACCTCGTGCTCGCTAAAACAAAACTGCGCATGCACTTGAAATATGTCACAGGACAACCACTAAAATATTCTCCAGAACATCCTCCCCTTTCTTGATATGAAAATATCAACAAAACTTAGGCAAAATAAATTTGTTCTGAAAGATATGAAATGTTCAAAAGCATTTGTCTTAATAATGTCACTTAAAGTTCAACATTGCTCTAATGGGCAAAGTTTCACAATTGGTCTCCGTAGCACAGTCTTTCCAACTTGAACATCAACAACACGCACTTTGCTGTCTTTTCCAGGGAACACTCTTACAATCCTTCCTAAAGGCCATTTTCCTCTTGGTGTATCCGGGGACATGACAATGACAACGTCTCCTACTTTTAGGTCAACTTGCTCCCTGCGCCACTTTTTCCGTACACTCAGACTGGGAATCCATTCATGCAACCATCTATGCCAAAAATGACGTACAAGTTCCTGGACGCGACGCCATCTCTTTCTTGGATTGAATACTTCAGTGTCAACACTATCGGGTGCAAATCTGCCTCCTAACTGACCATGTAAAAAATGATTAGGAGTCAAAGGGGTCAGGTCAGTTGGGCTGCTTGACTGGTAAGTTAGTGGCCTGGAGTTAATTAACCCTTCTGCTCCTACAACTGCACTTAAAAGTTCCTCATCGGTGATGTCTGCAGAGCTAAGGATGGCATAAATAGCTTTCTTTGCAGCTTTGATCATAACTTCATGTACACCACTGAAGTGTGGGGCAAGAGGGGGGTTAAAATGCCACTTGACTCCATAGCTTGTCGTAGCATCCTGAATCTTCTTGTGGTCCAAGGCTTCCAATTCTTTTAGCTCGTTACTTCCACCAACGAAATTAGTGCCATTGTCACATACAACGTCTTTGGGCTGGCCACGTCGGGACACCATACGGAAGAATGCATTTAGAAATGAGTCGGTGTCCAGGCTGAAAGCTACTTCGAGATGAACAGCTCGTGTTGCAAGACAGGTGAATAGGCAAAGGTATCTCTTCTGACGCGCCTTTCCTCTTCCTTGCTTAGTAATGAATGGACCACCAAAGTCGACAGAAGTTTGGCTGAAAGCTC